CTCCCCCGCCCCCCTTCCCCTGCCTCTCTCTGTATCCGTTCTTCCACCTCGTCTCGACCTTCCATGATCGAGGTATATACATACACACACGCGTGCATATACGTATACGATGATGAATTATAATCATGATATATATATATATATATATATATATATATATATATATTATATATGAGATCGTAGTAATTGTTTATGAAATCATCGTCAGGGGGATGTCTGTTCAGTTTTAGCTCATCAGCTGCGTGACTCACAAGTTGCAAAATGCCATAGATTTCTACGTCGCATGAATTATTTCTGTACTAAAAGATATTTAATTATGCATTTTTTGACCATTTTTATTTTATAATTCACACTAACAATATACTTATTTATTTATTTTTTCTTGCTTTCTGGTGGTTTGTCTACAAACGACGACCAACTTTTACTAGTTTTTTTTCTCACCACCCATAAAATATATATATATATATATATTATATATATATATATATATATTGGGTAACTAGCTGTTTTATACTAAGGATCAAACTAATTCCGAGACCGAAAATAAGTGCTATGATTTAGATTATACGTTCTTTTTCTAAATTTGAGTTTTGAATTCGGGATGAGACAAACGTTTTGCATTTCGTTTAATCTGTTGAACTATCGAAATTTGGTTTATATATCGGTAAAGAGAAAAATCAAGCAAAAGCACTGCAGATACACATGAGTCACAGTGGATATTCTGTGTTACCGACACCTAAAATCTTTAATCACAAAGCGAGAAACGGACAAACATTAATTATTTGTGTCATTATAATAGGATTTGAAAAAACAAAAGTGGTTTATTATTATAGCAATAGTGTGACAAAGAAATGTGTCTCGTCCACTAACTTTGTAGTAAATTCTATAAACTATGATCACTACACTAGACATATAAAATCTTTGATAAAATATTTTAATTCTGGCGATATATTGATATGTTTCCCCATTTATGATTCTCATATTTATTTCAAATAGTATTTTTTTAAAATTTTGGTGGAATAATTTTTTTTTAAAATAGGTTTTGGAAGTGCTTCAAAAAGAAGAGGAGATAGAGAGAGAGAAGTGGAAAATGGCAGAGGAAGAAGAAGAAGAGACCGAAGAGTTTTGGGGTTTCGAAGATCTCGAAGAATACATTTCTTCTTCTCTTTCTATTTCTCCTCACGATTCGCTCTCTAACCAAAGTGAATTATAGGTTTCTTTAGTTCTTGTTATATTTAAAATCTCTTATTCAATTTTGTTTTTGATTTGTATATAAATTTGTATTTAATCAATCAAAAAAGTTTTTATTTAGTTTTTTTTTATGTCGTGAAACGTATGTTTGATTATACTCACTATTGTTTTTTTTTTAATATACGGTAAGAATGATGTTTAATTAACGCTTTTTTAATAAGAAAAATATCTATAAACTTATACTTATGAGCAATTAATTTAATTTGCCATTTCCAATAATAACATGGCTATTTATATTTTACAAATAAAAATATGACAAAAAAGACGTTGTTATAACTCTAAAATAAATATATAACTCTTTTGTCCTATATATATTTCTTATTATTATTTTCATATTATTATCATCTTTGTTATTATTATTATTATAAAGCAGCTAGTTTTAAAACTTGGTTTCCGCTGAAATGACTTAAGAAAATACATAGACCAAAAATTAAATTTGTAAAAGAGATAAAAATAAAATTAAAACCTTGTCAAGATTCTTTCCAACTTACTAAAACCCTTTATTTATTTTTTATTTTTATTTTAACCAAAATCCTCTTTGAAAGAATCTTCGAGATCCTCACATGAACCAAGCCAACCCCCTCGGATACCATTAATGACCATCAGTGATAATTTGTCGTTAATCACCCTTCATTAATCTTATCATTGTATCTCCATTAATAAGTGGATAATTAATAATACAATCTTTTTGGATCGTATTCAAATTGCATATTTCTTAAAACCCAAATTGTCGATATTTATTTTATGCCAGGTGTTACGACACATACAATTATATACGTAGTTTATATAATAGTGCATTGTTAAAAAAAAAAAAAGTGATAATGATTCTAATGTATCGTCACTAATTAAGTTGATTCTTAAAAAAAAACGTAAACATGGATTAGCTTCCTCAATCTCTCGTTAGTATATAATAAAGCGTATGGATTTATTTTTTATTAGAAAAAGTGTATATATATATATATATATATATATATATTCTATGATCTTCTTCATTATTTTTTTTTGTGAAATCTTAACGAACACATCGTATTTTTTAAAAATCATTTACGTGCGAATTTTATTTTTAACGAAAATTTTTATAATCAATACAAATGTGTTTGTATATATATATTTATATCTACGTGTCGGTTCAAGTTGATAAAACACTAAATAGTTATATTATTTTTTTTACAATAAGGAGATTCACTAATCCTTTGATCTATTTAATCTCCGGAATCAGCCTTTTATCACATAATTAATTTTTTTTCTCCATCAATAAAATCGAATTCAAAATTTCGAAGTGATTTTGTGATTTTTTAATAACTGGACCACCGACCAATGGGTGAATGAAATATTGATAATTTTCAAAGTTTTCTATAATGTAAAGATTAGGAATATGTTTTAGTTATACTATGCTCATGAAACTATTTTTGACGACGGTCGAAATCTTTGGTTTTTATAACTCAAGTGGAGAATATGTATATATATATATTATATATACACACACATATGTAAAAATATCAAATCAAACAACTGGCAGACTTCATGGAAGTGACATCGCCATCTCAACTAACTTGCTATTTACTCTTCAATAGATTTTGTGATATTTAGCAAAACGGATTTGAAAGCAGCGATTAATGTATTAGTTAGTCATTATAACCCTTAATTTGCCATGTTATTTCGTAAATCACCTCTCTCTCTCTCTCTCTCTCTCTCTCTCTCTCTCTCTCTCTCTCTCGTAACCTCTTCGAATGATTTGATTTGATTTGTCGTGTAATTATATAGAAAACTATGTACATTCCCCATAATATTTAACCACCCGAAACATGTTGCATCAAATTTCGTACGAACCGTCCCTCATTGGATTGCCAGTTATTAATCGAATAACTGAATCGAATAAAATATAACCGTCATTAAACCGAATATAATATAAAAACTGAACTGTTATGATTTCTTTAAAACAAAACCGAATCGAACTGATTAAAACTCACCGAAAAAACCGATAATGAAAAAAATAAATTTTTATAATCGAAATAATTGAATCCAAATATAAACGAACAGAACCCGAAATGGTTACCTCTAACCGTCACAACCTTTAGTATGTGTGTATATATATTAAATTAAATGTTTTTAATTTACTACGTGAAATGAAATGCAAAAAAAAAAATTCAAAGAGATAATCCAAAGTGATAATCATAACTTTTTCTCGTACGCCAAAAGACAAAAGACAAAGGCAATGACAGATCAGAAACCCACAGAACTGTATTAATTTCATTATAAGCGCTCCAAAATCAAACATTATATACGTTAGTTAGAATCTCCTTTAAGTGTGGTTTAGGAGCACCTAATCAGTCAGCATGTTACAACCATATAATATATATATTTATGCCATTTATTTGGATGTTTTATTAGATGACTAAACATATAAACATTTATTTCTTTTCCATTATTATTAATTTCGGCTTCTCTTAGCTACAAAAACCAGTTTAGAAAAAAAGAAAAATATCATCAACCTGAAAATTTCGAATTTCATATCCATTCGATATGAGTCGGGTACCAAAAATTTGGATATTCATCCATAGACGGATTTGGGACGAGAATCTAACACTTTGGATGGATTTGGATTTTGATATATTCTATTATCCGTATCTTTGGTAACCCGAGCCAAGGGAGGCAAGAAGACGATGAGGGGATAGGGTTTCCGTTTCATCAATATTTTAGGGTTTCCATTTCATCAAACTAAAAAAACCGAGGCGAGGCATGTCGCTTCAACCTCTTCTCGCTTTTGCCATTTCATCGCTCGTCTTGCAGTTCACTCATCGAGTACATCGTTCCTCTCTATCCCCGCTTTTTTCACTACGAAAGAAAAAATGGTCATTTCCAACGAGACTCGCCCACCTAGACCTATATATACCTTGTGCTCCTTGCTGCACCCTATGGCCGGTAAGATGACCGGTAGATACCGAGCATTTGGATCATTTCATGGGTACGACGACAACAGGTTCCAAAGCTCAGATCTCGAGAGGTGCGAATTCAAAGTCGAGTAATCCGAAACCCTAGCACCCAACCTGTTCCATGCCCTAAATATATATGTATATTTCCACATTACTAGGGATGTTAAATGGACTGGCCCGGTTCGGACTAGCCCGGCTCGTCAAGACTCGCCATTTTATTGGTTCGGACAAAACCGAACCGTTTATAAACGGGCCGAACCGACTCGCTAAAACTTGTGGGTTAAACGAGCTGGCTCGCGGGCTAAAAAAAATACAAAACAATGTAATAAATCGTGCTAAAATAATCAGTTGACCCAAAAAAATCTTATTAAACATTACCAATAATGTCTTAATCCATAAAAATACTAAAAACTCATCTAAATCATTACCAATAAAAGATAAAATCATTACGAATAATCTCTAAAACCATTCATAAAAATTAGGATAAGATAAAAATTAAGAAAGGGTACGGCCCGCAGACTGGCCCAGCTCGAACCAGCCTGGCTCGTCGTGAGCTCGCCATTTACTGGCTTAGACCAGACCGGACCGTTTGCAACGGGCTAAAAAATGTCTGACCCACCTCGACACTAAACGGTCTGATTCAGGGTCGGATCGCGAGCCCACATCCCATTTAATATCCCTACACATTACATTGCCTTGTAATTGGATCATAAGTTTCGGTTATGTTAACAAGTGTTTTGAATCATATTTATATTGAACTTTAAATATATATATATATATATATATATATTTAACGTCAGACATCTGTAAAAAATGTTATCAAAATCATTAATATATTCTAAAATTGTTTTCATGTAAGTTGGAAACTATTTTTTTTTTTTTATAATTTTCCTAGCGAAAGCTTCTTTAGTGTTGGATCTTCGGATATATTAGAACTTTTCTCGTCTCGTCTACGATTGGGCCATGGACTTTGAAGCCTATAGCTCTCTTTCTTATGTTTATGGGCCTTTTAATCTAATTATAAAGAAACCAAAAAAACCTTATATATCGACATTTATTATTTTTGTGGCATACCAAGGCTGTTTATGCAAACATTTTATTGATGTTTAAAAATATATATTCACTGTGATTTAGTTTCAAGTTTATGTGAAAACAAAAATAATAAGAAACTTTATAGCATTAGTCTACAACTAAATTAATTAATTAAATCTCAATATTTTTTTTAAAACCTCTGATAAATCCCATAAAAATTCATCAACAAATCCATTAATTTATATTGATTTCGATTATTATATTAATAAAAATGAAACCCCACACTATTTGGTACATAAGTCTCTCTCTATAATGTATATAGAAGCTTTCTCCCATTTATTTCTTTATGTAGAAAATATTTTAACATTAAAATGAAATGAAAAAACGTTGGTCATATATATATTGCCAAAATTAATGAATATAATAAAATATATTATTCTAAAATAGAAAATTATATTATTATATGATTTTTTAACCAAAAAAAAATATAATTGTTCAAAAACAGTACGTTCAACGGTTCAAGACGTGTTCTATAATCATATTAAACAATCTAAAATTCGTATAAACAATAGATAAGATGAATTTATATAAAAAAAAGTTGCACAGTAGGTGTTATATGAACAACAATTTAACACAGTTTCATATTTCGATTCAATAGATAGAGGAATTCATATTTATTCCTTTTATTTTATTTTATTTTATTTTTGCAAAATCTTTTTTCCCTACCTTTTGGTAAATTTAGAAATGTCGTACTCGTACCTCATCAACAAAATAACCATTTTACAGATGACAAAGAGAAGAAAAAAAAACGAATAATTCTGCATAAAACACAAATCATATACTTCATATAAAGTATTTGGATTTACAAATAGATTCAAAATAAAGAGACATGAACCAGTCAAAAATAAAATAAAATAAAATAAATACGATGAAAAATAATAAGAGAAATACTAACCAAATCTAAGACCTGACACAAAGAACAAAGATAAGATGAAGCCCTAATACAATATACCTCAATATTCCAACTAAATCCTAACAGAGTAAGAATTGATTCCAGTTTTTGTCTGTTCAGATGTCAGAAAATAAATCTTCTCATAACAGAGCTTTTTCTTCTTTTTTTGTCTTGCACCTAGATCGATTTCCCAAAACAATACCCAACTTTCCATTTGATTAATCAGATGATGGACATGACAACAATAATTCATGGAACTCACTTAACATCCACTCTTCCCCAGTCTTTCCGCCCAAGACTATGGCTCGAGTCCCTCCGACCACGTAGGTACTGGGTCCCCACACAAACTCGGTGGACTTTCCGAAACATTTAGTATCCTCCATGTCGGTTTCTCATCCGTTGGATCGAGGAGATAAAGGTGAGATGTTGAGTCAAGCCTACAACTGACCCACCAAATATCAAGATTCTCCCACCCGGAAGGCTAACTGCCACATGGTCAAGTCTCGGGGGTGGAGCCACCATTCCATCCGGAAGATTTTTCAGACCCTAGTGTGCCACTACCACACCTGTTCACGGGTCTCCAACACTGTTCATTCTCACTTAGGTCCATTGCGAATTGTTGGTTTAGGTGCTCTATATATTGCTTTACGATATGAATACTGATACATTTTGTGGGTGACAGATTCATGATTTTCGTTAAGTCAATGAATGTTTTTTCTTCTTCTTTATTCGTTTTGCATATTTGATGAATAAGAAAATTCATGGTTCATTATGAACGATCCTAAATTTCCTATTCTTGTATTATTGTGGGAACGATAATACAACAAGACTAGCATGAGGTGTGATGATTATACAGATGATCAAATGTATTGGATACAAATCACAATCATGGGTACTATTTTGGAATGAAGTATTGGATAACCCGCATGAGATTGTCACATGGACAAGAGTCATGACTTTAATCTTATGTGATAGGTTCATGATTAGATCCTATGACCTGAGATGTCTACGGTATTTGACATGAGGAATGTCGTACTTTGATTGCGTCAAACGTCTTGCGTAACAGGAAGATTATAACGGCGTCTCTTGGGTACGAAATGAATCATGTTTCAGATAGTACACAGTCAATATGGGATTTGTACCTCTCGTCCCGAGAGAGATATTGCTTGGGTCCCTCGAGTGAGTTGAGACTGAGATGCGCGCAACCAGATTAAGAGTCATATGATGTTTCAGTTAACTCAACGAACGAGAAAAGCAGTCGAATCTGATAAGATGGCTGGCTCCATGTCTTATGTTCGACGTATGATATCGTGTTACAAAGGGATCATCATATGGACTATTACTGGCTTTCGTTAGATCAAAGACTAACTCTATTCGGATTAGGTAGTCATAGTGTCTTGTTAGAGACCGTCTATGACTTGTATTACCGGAATGAAGATTCCGTGCTTTACTGCTATTCCGGATAAGCCTACAGGGTCACAACACAGGGACGAACATGTGCGCGAGAAAGAGACGGAAAAACCCAGATGAAATAGTCCAGTCCGAGACCGGACGGACCAGACGGTCCAAATGTGCGGACCGATCGGTCCAGACGGTGAAGCAAGAGTTGCGAGAAACATAGACCAGTCCGTCCGGTCCAAACTTGCTGGACCGAACGGACTAGGGCTTCAGGTGTTTTTTATTTTTCTTTCTCAACTAGGGTTTTGGGACAAAAAATAAATAGGGCTCGACCCCTAGGGTTTTGATAACGCCTCCTCAGACTTTTAGAAAGTTCTAAGAGTCTCCAAAACCTATTTTTCGATTCCCAAAAACCTGCGCATTAGAGATCGAGAATTCTAGTCCTAGCAGACAATTCCAACCAATGGAATCCTTCCCGTCATGTGGATACGTGTAGAGGGTTTGGTATACTTCATGCCTTCTTGTGATCGACGATTCAATTGTGAACAGACCCCGAATCATTTGAGGTTTGTGTTTCTTTTATAGATCTACAATCAAGCATGTTCGGTTTTAGGGTTTCCTTTAGAAAATTTTGGTTTTTCACCTTCCGCTGCATGAACCCTAGAATCGGATCTCTAGGATTATGAATTGTTAGCGAGATCACAGGAAACCAAACACGAATACATCGCTTGAACAGAATCTTAAAGATTCCATCTTTGCAAGCCCACCGAACATTAGGATCTTTCTGCCTCCGTAGACCGTCAGAGTGTGACCAAGATGAGATGGAGGTGTCTATAGAATGGGTATCTCCCTCCATACTGGTTCCTCCATTGAGAGGTCAAGAAGAAATCTATCACTAAGAAGAGCTCTTGAATCAGCACAACCACTGGATACTATCAACTTAGTGCCATCGAGGGTGCATGAGCTATGCCATGATCGGGGGGAGAGGAAGGGTCGAGCCAGAAACTTCTCCCCAAGTCGGTGGGTCTGCATCAAGATCTAGCAAGAAGACATCGTTAAGTAGTCCTTGGCTCCCATAACCTTCGAAAACCACCGAGCGAGACCCATTTACACATGAGAGAGTGTGGCCCCATCAGCGGGGAGGAGGGGAGCTGACCTGAACATGTTACCACTCGAGGTTACTTGAACTCAGGTCCAACACGAGTGTATCATTCATTGTCTGCATATTCACACCTTCACCACCAAAGATAACAATCATGTTCCCGACTGCACAGACACTGAAATTACAACGAGACGACTCAACGACCCCTCCCACCGTCAATTTCCTCCAGGCCACCGCTTCAAGGGTTGTCAGCTCTCGGGCCAACTGACCCAAACCTATCGTCCTTGCACTGGGAATAGTCTCCATAAATCATCGTACTTTGTTAGCTCTTGGAGCCGAGGGCATACCAAACCATCCGATGCAATATCACGAGGAGTCAACCGTGATAATATCTTGAGAACTAACTGTTGGGATTCCTGGGATCTCTAGAGCGAATCCTATTCCTAAGAGATCGATTCTAGGGTTTGCGCAGCGGATATAAAACAAAAATTTAATAAACCCTAGAACCATGCTTCTAATGAATCGTAGAAACGTTAGAACGCTTACGTCAATCGATCCGGGGCCTGTATCAACTGAAGAATTCGTCCGATCACTTAGACAGGAAGTTTACCTCGCCCTCTACACGTATCCACACCTCGGGATGGATTCCAACGATTAGAACTTGTCTGCTAGGACTCGAATCTCTATTCGGTTTTTGCACTTCGAGAAAACGAGACTTAGAACGTCTTGACTATCTACAATCCAGTACATGATTCGTTTCGTGCCTGATACACGCCTTTATAATCCTCCGGTTACGCAGGACGTTTGACGTATTTAAAACACACAACTCCTCATGTTGGATTCCGTAGATATCTCAGGTCTTAGGATCCAATCATGGAACCGCCATATGAGATTCAAGTCATGACGCTAGTCCATGTGACAATCTCATGCGGGTCAATCCCGTATTCCGTTCTCCAACGAATACCTATGACTGTGATCGTATCCAATACCTATGATCATCTCTATGATCATCAATCACACATCATACTAGTCTTATTATGTCGTTATTCCCATAACGACACAAGACTAGGGAGTTTAGTATCATTCATAATGATACATGGATTTCATAACAGATCTAGTATGCAAGAACATGTAATGAATCAAATACTCTCATATAAACCATAGAAAGTATCAATACATCGAATGTATCTAAAGAAAGCTCATAAACAGTACATCATAGAGCACTAAACCAACAATCTCCCACATGCTCTAATCATGAACTGCTAAACATCTAATGCCCATATCCCTAACATGACTCTCATGCTTCGACGAAGGGAGAGGCTTCATCAACGGATCGGCAATGTTGTCATCTGTCGACACTCTGCAAATGTGCACGTGAAGACGCCTCGATCTATCTCTATAGATCTTGATGCCTAGAATATAGGCCGCTTCTCCTAGGTCCTTCATAGAAAACTGCGTTCGTAGCCAAGACTTAACGTCTTGCAAGGTAGGAACGTCATTCCCTATAAGGAGAATGTCATCCACGTACAACACCAAAAAA